ACCACATGACCCAAAATGCGACCAAATGAAGCCGGAACTCACCGCCCCCCCCAGGTTTTTCTTGGATTGCTCCATGTCACTGTCCTTTTTAAGGTAACGTAACTCATCAGTGCTCTCTATAGTTCTATTAACTGAACCTGAAACAGATATGATGTTTCCAAAGTAAAAAAACTAAGCCTTCTTCTCACTTTTCCCTTAAAAGTTTTTCGCCTTAGTTAAAGTGGAAAGCTCAGTTGATTGCTTACTTGTCTTGAGAACACAATAGGTCATTTTTTCTTTTTGGATTTTCATTTAAATTTAAGTGGAATCTTGACTTTTTAGCATGATTTGCCCATATTTCTTGTAACCTTTTTCTTGCTTAGTCGTTATGTAAGCATTTTCTATGAAACCAAGCCTTTCAAGTAGGGCTTGAAAAATCTAGGTGATCCTATCAGTTGACAAGCAAGATAGACAGAGAAAAGGTTTAATGTTTTTTTGTGGTGGGGGATTCAAATGCTGTTTCATAATCAATGGATTAACTTTTGCCAAGCCGGATGAAATTTTCTTGACTAAGAAATAGAGAATTTAAGTCCCTTTTGGAATCAACTGATCAACTCTACCAAGAGTGGTGATTCCTGTATTTTTTTTTAAATCTTTGGTTTCACTTTCGCAAGTTAGATTTTTCTCGTTCTTTGAAAATGAGTATATATGTATATCATGTGTGCTAGTTCGAGAAAGTTCATTCCATTATTGGCATATCTTGTGGGATCAACTTTAAGGTAATGCCTATATAACATTGTAGGAGCAGAGGAAATTTGGTATCATTTGTGAAGTATGACCTTAGTCCTGTTATAAACTTCCTGAACACTAGGTGAAAGAAATGGGAAGTTCTGCATAAGGCTTTTGGCCATTTGTTTCTACCCAATGGGTATTTCCCCTTAGGCGGGGGGGNTTACATGTCTAGACATTGAATTGTGACACCCGCTGTTTGATATTTTTTGGCAACAGCATAAAATTATATTTTGATTAGCAATGACAAACAAAATGGATGTAGCACTTGAAATTAGTGGTCCATAGTAAATCAGCTGGCCGGAGTATTAAAATTCTGCTTTGTGCAAGTTCTTGGTTGCTGCCAGATCCCTTTTATGTAAAAGAACTTCCGATGAGTAGTCTGCTATCACTTAATTTTTTTTTTTATTGGGTACGCACTTTGGCCGATTACAGAAGGCATTATAACCTTGAATTTTGATCTTTTTAGAGTGTACAAGTAATGGGTTCCTTTGATGGTTGGAGTCAAGGAGAGCACTTATCGCCCGAGTACACTGGATCTTATATGCATTTTTCAACTACATTGTTCCTAAGACCTGGAAGGTACGTTTCTCTTCTGCCACCGAGTATTTCTGTCCTTGCACTCTCCAAACACCTTCCACCCCTTTTAGGACAATTAAGTGTATCTGTACTTCTTAAAAGATATTTTGGGTGGTGTTAGGTACGAAATCAAGTTCTTGGTAGACGGAGAGTGGCACCTATCCCCTGAACTCCCAATTACTGGAGAGGGGTTAACTGAGAACAATTTATTGATTGTGGAATAGCTCCTGTAGCTAGCATACAATGTATATGTGCTGAAAATCTGCTTTGGGATGAAAGATGAACCTATTAAGCATGGAATAGCTCGTGTTGTCAGCATGCCATGTCTATCTGCTGAAGGTCAGTGCTCTAAGTGTGAATGCCTTCTCTTGAGGATGCCGATTTCAAGCGTGCCAATTTATGTAATGAACTTTTGGGAAAATACCATAAATGTTAAGTAAGCATTTAAGCAATGTTCTTGTAGATATGATAAGATAACTACTCACTAGCTTTTATGTCTTACTAAATTATTAAGGCAAAATACATACTTTACCCATCGACCTTGTACTCAAATCTCTCTTATACACTTGTTAAACACGGGGATAGTATTACACACCAAAACTTTTAATAGTGTGTTAATTACACACCTCTTTTGTCATGTGTCACACACGTGTATTGCACATAAAAGAGGCGCGTGATAACTATAGAATTTATCTGAAATTAANACGTTCCCCCCCTCCCCCGTTTCGTCTTCTTCCCCAACTTCCATCCTAGTGTTGTCTACCCCTCGTGTTTCGTCTCTCCAACCTCCATGACTAAGAAGAAAAGAGGAGCTATTAGGTCTTGTAAAAATTACCATTATTGACCTTTTAAAAAAGCTTGGAAATTTAATCGGGTCTTGTTGATTTTGGTGTTCCATGACCTAGAAAATTAGTTTGAATTCGTGATTATTGTTGAATAAAAATTTACTTAGGTGATTAATTTCGATAAAATTCAAAAAACACCATTAACAAGTTTAAAACTTTGGGTTTGAGCTTGAATTTTAAATTTGTCTAAGGATCTGTGATGGATATTGTTAAAACTTGTTAAAAATCGAGCAAAGAGTTGAATCTATAGTTAGGGAAGAATGTGCTTGTAGTCGAAGGGTTGGTGGTAGTGGAGAAGATGATGGAGTTGGGGAGATGAGGAGGGGGTGTGGTTTTTTCTTTTCTGTATTTTTTTCTTTAGGAAGATGAGGAGAGGGGTGGGGGGTAGAGAGTTTTTTTTTCCAGTTTTTTTTTTTCCGATTTATGACACATGTCAGATGCTGATTGACGCGTGTAATAGCAATCTTTAAGCAGATATGATCAAACACCGAAGTGGTGTGTAATTGACGCACCTTTAAAAGTTTTGGTGTCAAATATTATTCCAGTATTTAACAGGTGTGTAAGAGGGATTTGGGGATGTATAAACTTCACCCATTAAATGTGTTCTTTTATGTTGTTCGGTCTCTTGAATTTTAAGTAAGGGGTGAATTGATTCAAAAGCTAGATCATGAAGTAGGATTGGTCAAGGTCATATAAGGAGACAACATTTCATTCCTTCTATCAATCAGGACGAAAAATCTAACATGGGAGTCCATCATTGGATAAACCAAGAATAAGAATGAGTCACTTTGATACCGTGTGAGGAAGATGTGTTGAGTCTAACTCAATCCTTAAAGCTAGTACATGAGATTTGGATTGCCCAAGATAATATAAGGAAATAACCTTCTCTTAACTATTGTGGAACACTTAATTCTACTATTCAGGTATAATTCATGGCATTTTGGACTCGATTAATTTAAGTTTGGAGATCAAGTCATACCTACTTTTTTTAGGGGTTGTGGGGGGGGGGGGGGAGATGGGTGGGTGGTGGTGGTTGGAGCAGGGAGTTGGATATTGGTTAGCCAAAGGTCAAAGATGTGCTAATGAGTTAGTGACAAATCGCTGTTAGCATTCTTGATCCCTGAGACTTCAAAACAGCATAAAAAGACTGGATAGGCTACCTTCCTTGTATTGATTTTCTAACCGAGCAACCAAACAATGCAATATATTGAAGCAAGTCTGATTGCCTACCTTGTATTGCTTTATTACTAACTGCCCTCAGGTCATGTTCAGCTTAACACTTTGGTTATAACTACAAAACTAGCTTTCAAGCTGCTTGAGCACCAAGTAGTAGATACGCAAAAATTGATCCAACCTTTTTTAGAACATTTGTCGACTGACTGTCAGCAAAATATTTATTACACCAGTGTTCCATGCCTGGCCTATTTGCTATGTTTTCATCTTATCACGTTTACCTTAGTATCTGCTCTGCCCAAAGTTCTCGAAATCTAATTATGAATTACAAGCCAAATAATCAAAGTACAACAACAACATACCCCAGTGTAGTCCCACAAGTGGGGTCTGGGGAGGGTAGAGTGTATTAGAGTGTACACAAACGTTACTCCGGACTTTAAGAAGGCAGAGAGGCTGTTTCCGAGAGACCCTCGGCTCAGGATGGAGAGAGGAGAATAGCATTAACAAGCAAACCGATCTGACAACCGAAGCAAAAATACAAAACTAGCAATAGGTAATACAATCAGGAAACCGAAACAAAAATACAAAACTAGCAATAGGTAATACAATCAGGAAACCGAAACAAAAAACAACAACAAGTAGTAATAAAAGTCTATGGATACGAAAAGAAAAGAAAGAAAAGAAAAAGAAAAAAAACACTAAAGACACCAAGTGGTGTATCAAAGCTACTGCTACAATCAAGGATAACAGTCGGCCACCTAACCTTTTATTCTCAACCTCCATACCTTCCTATCTATGGTCATGTCCTCAATGAGCTGGAGCAACACCATATCTTGCCTAATCAACTCCCCGTAATACTTCTTCGGCCTGCATCTACCTCTCCGTTGGCCCTCCCATGCGAACCTCTCACACCTCCTCACCGGAGCATCAATGTCTCTCCTCTTTACATGCCCGAACCATCTAAGTCTCGCCTCTCGCATCTGGTCCTCCACAAGGGACATACCTGTAACAGCCCAGCCCGCTAGTGATATTGTCCGCTCTGGGCCTAGGCCCTCATGGGTTTAAAATGCATCACTAGGGTCTAAGACTTGTTAACTTATATACCCAGCATCCCTCTTGTGTTTGCCGATGTGGGACTCTGTCTATAGTCTGGGGTGTTACATACACCCCCTCTTATGGACTCAGCGTCCTCGCTGAGGTTTGCCCCACCGCATGGGATTTGCCTAGACTCAGCACTGAGGTTTGCCCCGCCTAACCGGGATTTGCTTAAACTCAGTTGAACTCTGACCCACCATCGGCAAGACTGACACAAGAGTGGCTCTGATACCATCTTTAACAGCCCAGCCCGCTAGTGATATTGTTCGCTCTGGGCCTAGGCCCTCACGGGTTTAAAAACGCGTCACTAGGGTCTAAGGTTTGTTAACTTATATACCCACCATCCCTCTTGTGTTTGCCGATGTGGGACTCTGTCTATAGTCTGGGGTGTTACAACACCCACCTTGTCCCGGATAACTTCATTTCTAATTTTATCTAACCTGATATGCCTGCACATCTACCTCAACATCCTCATCTCAGCCACCTTTATCTTCTGGAAATGGAATTTTTTGACTGGCCAACACTCCACCCCAACATAGTCGGTTTGACCACCGCTCTATAGAACTTACCTTTAAGTTTTGGTGGTACATTCTTATCACACAAAATACCGGAAGCGAGCCTCCATTTTATCCATCCCGCCCCAATACGGTGTGTGATATCCTCGTCAATCTCCCCATTCTTTTGTATAATAGACCCAAGGTACTTGAAACTATCTCTCATAGCGATAACTTGTGAATCGAGCCTCACGTCTTCGTCCTCTTCCTAAGTCGCGCCACCGAACTTGCACTCCAAGTACTCTGTTTTGGTCATGCTCAACTTGAAACCCTTAGACTCCAAGGTCTGTTTCCATACTCTAACCTCTCGTTAACACCACAATGCGTCTCGTCAATCACTACAATATCATCAACAAATAACATGAACCACGACACCTCCCCTTGAATGTGACACGTCAGCGTATTGATAGCCAGGGCAAACAGGAATGGGCTGAGGGCTGATCCCTGATGCAACGCCATCATAATCGGGAAGTGTTCCGATTACCCTCCCACTGTCCTCAACCGAATCTTAGCACCCTCGTATATGTCCTTAATAGCCCTAATGTGTGCAACATGAACACCTCTAGCCTCCAAACATCTCCACAACACCTCTCTCGACACTTTATTGTAAGCCTTCTCTAAGTTGATGAACATCATATGTAAATCCCTCTTCCTCTCTCTATACTGCTCCATCAACCTCCTAACAAGGTGAATAGCTTCTGTAGTTGAACTCCCCAGCATAAATCTGAATTGGTTCTCTGAAATAGACATAATCATCCTCACCCTCATCTCCACCACCCTCTCCCATACTTTTATAGTATGGCTCAGTAGCTTGATACCCTGATAATTGTTGCAATTTTGGATATCCCCCTTGTTCTTATACAACGGGATCATCGTACTCCATTTCCATTCCTCGGGCATCTTTTTCATCCTAAAAATGACATTGAATAGCTCAGTAAGCCATTTGAAGCCGACCCTACCCATGCTCTTCCAAAATTCCACCAGGATTTCGTCTGGCCCGGTCGCTCTCCCCTTGCTCATCTTACGCATAGCCCCCTCTACCTCCGCAACTTTAATATGGTGGCAATACCCAAAGTCCCGACGGCTCTCAGAGTTTTCTAAGTTACCTAACATAATATTCCTATCCCCTTCTTCGTTCAGGAGTTTTTGGAAGTACGTTTGCCATCTCTGTTGAATCAGAGCCTCGTCCAACAACACTCAACCTTCCTCATTCTTGATGCACTTCACTTGGTCCAGGTCACGTGCCTTCTTCTCTCGCACCTTGGCTAACCTGTATAGTTTCTTGTTCCCTCCATTGCCTCCAAGTTCTTTATACAAGCGCTCAAATGCGGAAGTTTAGCCGCAGTAACTGCTAACTCTGCTTCCTTCTTAACCACCTTATACTGCTCCATGTTCATCCTCCTCTCCTCCTTGTCTATGCTTTTTACAAGTTTTAAATAAGCCACTTTCTTGGCTTTCACTTTACCTTGGACCTCAGTGCTCCACCATCAATCCCCTTTGCGTCCGCCAGAAGAGCCCTTCGAGACCCCCAATACCTCCCTAACAACCTCCCTAATGCAATTCGCAGTCGCAGTCCACATACCACTCACGTCCCTACTGTTCCTCCATGCTCCCATAGCCAGCAGCTTATCTCCCAACTCTTGGGCTTTGACCTTAGTCAAATCTCATCACTTGATCCTAGGAAGACCAAACACAACCTTCTTTCTCTGCTTCCTCATAAGCTCCAAATCCATGACCAGGAGCCTATGCTGGGTCGTGAGGTTCTCACTCGGGATGACCTTGCAATCCGTACATAGACCTCTATCCAACTTTCTAAGGAGTAGATAGTCAATCTGGGTCCTGGCTACCGAACTCTGAAAAGTAACTAAGTGTTCCTCCTTCTTCG